AGGCCATATCACCTTGAACATGACCAATCTCATCTGGTCTTGAAAGCCAAGCAGGGTTGGGTCTGGTTAGTACTTGGATAATCTTCAGAAAAGACTGCTCAGAAACAAGCAGTTTGGAGACAAGGGGGGAATGTCATCAAAGTTCAAATAGAGTCACTGGTGCCAGACCTCTCAAAGATAACCAAAGCTGAGAGGATTGAGGAAATGGTTCTCATACATGTGTGGCTATCTGGCATTAAAGCCCTTCCAGACACAAACTCCTATTTTTAGACAGGGTCTTCTACTTAGAGACAAAATAACTATTTTTACTGGCTCTAAACATGTCCTTTGATACTTAAAGATGGTGGTTTTTAACTTTTTTTTTTTTAAAACAACGCATGTCCTTTGATACTTAAAGATGGTGGTTTTAACTTTTTTTTTTTAAAAACAACGCATTTTCTTGGACATATATACTGATAATATATTGCTGCCATGGTAACAGTTTAAAAAGCAAACAAAAAAAGACATTTTTCTGGGTAAAAAAATAAAATGTCCACTGTTAGGTTGACGCTGATGGGAAGGCCAAATTGGAGCCAAATAATAAAACAAGCAGGCTTTAAGCAGGCTTTATTGAGAGCGCGCTCTCGGGTGAGGATCACCGTCCCCAAAGAGCAGGGCCAGAGAAGTCACGCCAGAGAAATGGCAGCCCAGTTTTTATATCCTGGGTGAAGTCAAGAGCTTAAGGTATTATGGGGCATCGGGATAGGTCGAGGTTTGGTGGGGAGGAGCTCGGGGTAATATGGATCTGTAGGATAGGTCAGGACCCATTGCCTGCCAGCAGGAGTTGCCATGGTAATCATGAAGCCTCTAATTGCTGCGCACCTTAATCACTGTACGCCAGAGTTGCCGTGGTAACCATGAAGGGAAGGTGGGGATGGAGTGGAAAGTGAGCAGAGAGTCCCTGATCGCCATGGGGTGGCTGCCCACCGGCCAAACATCCACCCATTAAAACCCCATTGAAGGGCCCTTTTGTTGTTATCTTGTCTACTACTCCCACCGCAGTTAAAGTAGTAGTGATTGCTCCTTGAATCCACCATAGTCAAGTCAATCTAGCTTCTCTCAAGTGGGAGTGCATCCTTGATCCGGCTTCACCATTTAGGATCACCCTCCAGAACCTGAGCACCTTCCCTTGCCAGGACTCCACTTCCCAGGAAACAACAGGGGACCAAGAATAGCAGGACGATAGTCCTGCTCTAGTCACCCATAGAAGCTGACTAGTCAACACAAGGCAGAAGCTTGAGGAGTCAACTCTCCAACAGGCTAAACAGGCTGTTTTTCACACCAGTTATTTCACTATAATGCATTGTCACCCCTTGTCTGTATCTGTTGCTGTAGTTCTCACCCTAGTCTTCACAGGCTTAGCAGAAACTGCCCCGCTGACTGGACTCATAGTGAAAGGTTTTTATTAGCTCTCTTCTATCTCTTTTGGGCAGAATGCATAATTACTGCTTGTTACTGATCTGGTTTCCCTTCCCAGCCCGAGCCCTCATCCTGTGACCTATGTATGCCTACTACTCAGGCAGGAAGTGTTGTTACGAAGACTTTACTTTTCCATACTAACTATTCCTGTGCAGACTCTGTCATCAGGTCATGCACTCACAATCACACCACCTATCTAGTGTGCTCCCATGGTACTCAGCATAACTGCTTCAACCCCATTTACCACCCTTGAGAGCAATGGTTAGAGATCAGGAGCATCTGCCACCCTAGGAACCTCGTCAGCCACACCCAGATGTTTAACCCTGATAAACCAGTGTCAATGCTCTTTGATGCATGTGTGACCATAGACAAAGGTGGACGTGGAGGTACAGGTTGTGGCTGTGAAGGCCTGGCTTGGGAAAGAGCCTATATGTCAAATGGTGAATTTTCCATCTCTGCCAAAGCTAAAAACTTGTTCCTCTCACTGGCTGAGTCTATAGTCCAGACACTGTCACTTCATGCTATGTTTGTTGGGGGGACCAACATGGGAGACCATTAGCCTTGGGAAGCAAGGGAGCTGAACCCATGGGAGCTTTTTAATGAGACTGCTTTCTCAAAACACAGGAAAGGCAGCAGGCTTCTAAAAACTTCCATCATAGGAAATTATTGCATCTCCCACCTGGAAGGCCACCTTGATGGGGGGATTTAACTTGTTTAGTACAGAAGTTTTACAATGACACTGCCCAAGAGACCCAATGGTGGGGAGCTCCAAACCATACAGAACCCCAGCCCCACCCACTTGCCAACTTTCCTAATCTCCAAAAAATGTGGGACGATCTTACTGTAAACATAGATTGGCGGGCATTCAGGGGGCTATATTGGATCTGTGGGAAGCAAGCTTATACAGTGCTACCTAGAAGCTGGTTTGGGTCTTGTGTACTAGGCTCAATCAGACCATCCTTCTTGCTTCCCCTCAGACAAAGTGAAAAACTGGGAGTCCCCAGTTAAGTAGACAAAAACAGGGTGCCTTACAAATTGGCAATTAAAATGATGACAAATGGCCTCCTGAGTAAATCATCCAGTACTATGGTCCTGCTACCTGGCCAAAAGACAGGTCCTGGGGCTATTGCACCCCTATATATATGTTCAACCGCATTATCAGGGTGTAAGCTGTTGTTAAAATTATAACTAATGAAATTACAAGAGCCCTTAATTTGCTGGTAAGACAAAGCCCTAAGATGCACAATGCCATCTATCAGAACCGCCTGGCTTTAGACTATTTGCTGGTTTCTGAGGGAGGAGTTTATGAAAAACTTAACCTAAACAACTGCTGCTGTTTAATCATCAATTAATGATTTTTTTAAAAAAGTCATAAAAGCGATCACAGACAAAATGAGAAACTTGCCCATGTCCCCATCCAGACTTGGGAGAGGATGGGATCCTAATGACCAGTTTGAAGGATGGTTTTCTGCCTTAGGTGAATTCAAAACCCTGATAGGGGCAATGGGCCTAATTGTAAAAACATGCTTAATATTGCCCTGCCTGGTTCCCCTGGTGCTGCAGTCTATCAAGACTACTATAAAGGTCGTTATAAAAAGGAAAACGGCTGCACATGTAATGATGTTATGAAAATACAAACCCCTAGATCAAGATGATGCTCTTTGACCCTAGGTGGGTCTGAGCATCAAAGCGGGAATAACGTAGCAGAGAGGACCAGAAAAAAACAGACTAGGCCTGAGTCCTCAGAAAGTAGCAGGGAGGTAGGGATGGCATAGCAGAGAGATAAAACCTGAGAAATCTGAACATGAGGAAGGTCACGTAGCACTGGGGGGTGGAGGGGACGTCAAGTAGCTAGGATAAAGTAGTTTATAAAATTAAATATAACCATATATGGATTAGACCTTGCTTTTTGCTTCTGTTAACCTGCTTGCAAGGGTATATAAGGTGAGACCCCTTTGTTCTCAGGGCTCAGCCTTTGGACATGAGTCCACTGAGTCTGTGCTGGCACAATAAAACATTGCTTCCTGCTAATTGCCTCAGTGTCTCGTATTTCAGCTGGCAACTTTCTGCAACAACCTTGCTTTATCATTATTATATTTATAATTGGGATGCAGCTTTACTATACTGAACTGGAACCCTTGAGCTCAAGCACTCCTCCTGCCTCAGCCTCCCAAGTCCTGGGATAAAGGTGTGGACCACCATGCCCACAATTATTTATGTAACACTTATCACTATTTAACCTTACATTATAAAATATTTCCTACTAAATTCCTATTACTAATTAAGCTCTCTGAGGTCATAGAATATTATTTTTTCCTTTACTGTTTATCCCAGTTCCTCAGGACTGAATCTGGTACCTGACACTTGCTCCAAAATTATTTGAATTACTTAAAGGCTTTTTGAGAGATGATGAAAGAAAACCCGATTTTCCAAAGTGGGATCTCACTTTATACTTTTTAACAAAGTAGCCTATTTCAAATATTACTTGTAATTTTTAAAAATATTTTTTCTCACTTGGAGGATGGTTCTACATTATACATTTCAATGTAAAGTTCTTGCTTTTGGGGGAAAAAGTTTGCTAACAGGTATCTCTTAGATGTGCTAGCAAATTACTCGCCAGTACTATGGGAGGTGGTGGGGTAGGGGATAAGTGGTATACTAACCCAAACTGTTCACAGTGTGCTATGTGCAGGTGGTGAGTACAGAGCAACCTTCTGATTTTTTTCCCCACATTGTTTTAAACTAGATTTTACTAGTACAAAAGGGTATGTGTGTATGTAATAGGACTTTCCTCTAGGTCTCTAAACCAGCTTTGTATAGAGCAGTTGTGAGAATTACAACTACTTTTTGTGATGCAATTTAAAGCATACATTTAACATACCTCTAGTCCTCACACAGCCGCATTTGAAACCGGACAAGGGGTTTTAAAGTGACCTCCCCAAAGACACCTGAAAATGGCAATTTTTGGAGGGAGCGTCTCTATGTAGTTCTGGCTGGCAGGAACTCACAATCCCCCTCTTGGCCTCCCTAGTGCTGGGATTACAGACGTGAGCCATCGGGCTCGCGGCCGAAGGTTTTCATAACCAAAACTGGTGTTAAATTAATGGTTCTAAATCCTATCGTTCACTAGCACGCGGCAAAAGTACATTATTTATGACGTGCCGAATCACTTTACAATGTGACATGCCCAGCCTTATTCTTAAGACTGCCCTTCTTACTCCAGATTTGTTTTTGAATTCTAGGACGCAGTTGTTCGAGAAGCCAAACGTGTGTCTGAGCTTGGGCTCCGAACTTGATCAAAGAGCGCAAGAAGCACAGCGCTCAACGGTCCGACAGGCGCCAGCCCTCTTGTATATGCGGAAAAGACAACGGCGCACCAGAACCCCATGCTTCGGTGCCCCAGGATGCAGTGCCGCCGCCCGCGCGAGGTACCACCGCGTAGTCACAGACGCGATCAGGGTCAGTCGAGGGCGCGAACTTGAGGCCGCCGAACTCGCGTACTTCCGGGTGTCAGAGTTTCTCGCGATAGGTGAACCCAGCATTCCGGAAGTGACTCCCCGGAAGGAGCGTAGCTGCTTTCCTGATCCGGCCAAACGCTGCGTGCTCAGCCGCTGTCGCCATGCAGTCAGATGATGTGAGTCCTCTATCTTTGCGGTCACACACCGGGCTTTACGCGGGGCATGTGCTCATTTTAGGACGCAGAAACCACATACTCAGCTGGTCCATTTGCGTCGTACGCTTCCGGATGCGGAGCTTCCAGAACCCGACTTTCCAAAGTGGGTTCACACGCGTTAGAGTCCTAAATCTGCAGCTTGCAGCCCCAGTCGGGTTCAGAGCCAGGACAGCGCCTCCTCAATCCATAGGGTCGACGTATTTAGTCCTTCGTGCCTAACAAAAACGGACTTTGTGCCATGCTGTCAACTTTATCTTTCGGGACTTGGAAGGATCCATCTTATTCATATTCATGTTACTTTGCACTGCTTTTCCTGTGTTAGGTTTTTCTTTACTAGTTTTTTTCTACTGTCTGCCCAAGTCATTTCAGAAGCATGCTAGGTTCATTCAGTGTTTTCCAACGTGTCAGGCACTGTGGTAATTACCAGAGCTGCCTTTGCTCTCCCGAGTACTGGGTGGGGGAATCAGTAAAGTGAAGGAATAAGACAGTTGCACTCTAAAATAGTACTGTGAAAGAAAGATCAGGAGTAACGGAGTGTAATTAGGAGAGACCACTTCTGGTAGGGCTTGTCAGGCAAGGTTTCTTAGAACGGACGTTTGAGCTGAGACCTAAAAGTTGAAAATGAGCCATGCACTGAGGTGGCAGGAACAGTAAAGGTTAAAGATCTGGAGATAGGAGAGGAGGAACATACCATAAACGGCGCCAATGTGACTTGGTGATGGATTAAGTGAAGAAAGGAGAAGTCAGGAAATTTTGAGCTTAAAAAAATAGTTCCATGGCAATATTTATTTGAAAAGGGGAGCACTAGGGAGGGATGTCATATTCTCCAGAGGTTTGTAACTGAGAGTTCCATTTGAATATGGTATTATCATGCTTTTTATTTTTTATCATGCTTTTTTATTTTTTTTAATCATGCTTTTTAATTTTTTTTTTAAGGCATTCAAATTGAGATGTCAAGTGGGCAGCTGGATGCATAGGCAAGTCTGGTGCTCAGGAAAGAAGTCTAACAGGGGATAATATTTAAAGCTATAAGCTTGAATGAGCTCCCTACTTTTCAGTTTCATTTCCTTTTACCTGTTTCCTACCATCCTTCACCACATACACCACAAATTCCCAAAGTGTGTTCTATTTGACCCTTCCCGTTTTTGTTTTAACTACTATAAAGCTTTTTCAGTTCCTCAAGGCAGCTGACTCAAGGGCTCTTACACTTTCATATACCTCTATGTGACTCTGACCGACTGCTAATTTGGGATGCTACTTTCATTCAACAAATATTTGTGACTACTGTGTTAGGGCTTGCAGGTATCAGTGTTTTTACGTAAATTGTTTAATAAATGCTAAATTAATAAAGAGCACACTAATAGCTGGGCATGGTAGCACATACCTGTGATCACAACACTAGGAAGGTTGAGGCAAGAGGATCAGGCGTTTAAGGCCAGCCTGGGCTATATAGCCAGACTCCGTCTCAAAAAACAAAATAGAAAAAAAAAAACCCCAAAAAACGGGGGGGAGAACGCATTAGTTAGTGGAGGATAGCAGTAGGTAATGAGTTAAAGTGGTATGTATATCTAAAAGTTGAGTACTGTGTACCCTTTAACAGTGGATAATGAACATGTAAAACAAAAACTACAAAGTATATGTAACATGATCTCATTTTTTGTTAAAAATATACACATGGGCACACTACAGTTGGTACAACATATACATGTGTAGAAAAAATTCTGGAAAATACAGAATATTATATCTTATGGTTATTGCTAATTTGTATTTAGTCTTTCTACAAGAATCTGTTTATTTGTGCAAAGAGAAGAAAAGTTGGGACTTTTTAAAAAATCTTTTCTTCCTTTCATTCCTTATTCCTTTCTTCAGTAAAGTAAGCACTGCATTATGGCACTGTCTTTTGTTTTTGTTTGCTTTTGTTTTTTGTGGTGGTAGGGATGGAACTCAAAGCCTTGCATATACCACTGAACTACATTCACAGTCCTTCTGGCATTGTCTATTAAAATTAATATCACATCTTTTGGACCACAGCAATTGAAAGGATCTTTACTTTGTCTTGCAGGTTATCTGGGATACACTAGGAAACAGGCAATTTTGTTCATTCAAAATAAGGTGAGTTTAGATTTGTGACCTGGAGTAAAATTCCTTTAGTTGCCCTCTTGGTAACCATCTTACAATCTTTGTTTCTTTTCTTCCACTTTAGAACCAAGACTCAGGGCTTTTGCAGAAATGAATATAGCCTGACTGGACTGTGTAATCGGTCATCCTGTCCCCTGGCAAATAGTCAGTATGCTACTATCAAAGAAGAGAAAGGTAACTGTCCAGTTCTAACTTCTATGAGAACTACTCGTGGAAGCTTTTACAAGGATGATCTTGGTCTCTCTAAATAATATTAAAGGTATTTTATTTTATACTTCAGGACAGTGCTTCTTGTATATGAAGGTTATAGAACGAGCAGCTTTTCCTAGGCGTCTCTGGGAACGGGTAAGACTTAATGACATAGCTTCAGTGACCACTGATCAAGAGCAAAAATGCCCATGCTTTCCCCTCTCCCTTGACGAGCTCTGAACTTCTGAAGCCATTCTTCTTAGGACAATCAATGTTGTTGACAGTGAAGAACTAATCATTTACTCTTACCCCTCAAGCTTTCTTTTTCTGTTTGTTAGGTCCGGCTTAGTAAAAACTATGAGAAAGCATTGGAGCAAATAGACGAAAATTTAATTTACTGGCCCCGTTTCATTCGACATAAATGTAAGCAGAGATTTACCAAGATAACCCAATACCTAATTCGAATTAGAAAGCTTACGCTAAAGCGACAGTAAGTATCTGGATCACTCGTTTATTTTTAACTCTTTCTTTCCATGGACCTTATGAAGCTCAGGTTGTGAAGTCTCTAATGATGCTTTCTACTAAATTCAACTTCTAATCTTCTATGTTATGTCAAGAAGAAATTTTAAAGGTGTGCCCTTTGATTTTGTAGGAGTTTTAAAAACAGAACACAGTTTGATTGTTCTCCTCTTTGCCTGAAAATGTGCTTCAGGAAATTTGCTTTATACCTCCCTACTATGGAAGATTTAAAATTATGTAAAAAAATGTGATGAACAGGAATGCTGTAAGAACTTTACTCTGGAGTCATTGAACACTACTTGAAAAAGTGATATGGAATCTACAAAATAGAACACTTTCAGCTAACTGCTTTGACTTTAGCCTTCTACAGAAAATTCCTTTTTCTTAGTTAACTGAAGCATTTATCTTAGTATAGTAAATGTCTAAACAAAAAACCCCCATCACATTAAAATACATGTTTAAATAGCTGACTTACAGTGTTAAATTTCTAGAACTTTTTTTTTGGGGGGGGGGTGCTGGGAATTAAACCTAGGTCCTCACATTTGAAAGGCAAATGCTCTACCAGTAAGCTATATCCTCAGTCCAAATTTCTAGAAACTCTTACTTTGTATATCTTGCTATTTTAAGCTAAGCCTTGCAAAACCAATTCCAATCTTGCTCTTTAATTTTTTTAGAAAGAGCACATAAATTTTCTTATTTTTCCTAGGAGGAAACTTGTTCCTTTGAGTAAAAAAGTGGAACGAAGGGAGAAAAGAAGAGAGGTAACTTATTCTTGTATTTTCATAGCTTTTATATTTTTATTGTGGCAAGACTTAGGTGGGGTGCATGAGAAAGATTCAGCCCTGGATAATGGTTCACTAATGGATAACAGCATTAAATGCCTGTGACATCTAATTCTTCTTATCTTCAGATTATGATTTTCACTGCAGGCTAATAGGGGTACTTTGGGGATCTATATGATGGAGGACAGAAAGAATATCTTAGAGATCCATACCTCTTTATCTAAAATTCTTGAGGTCAGATGTTCCAGAGTTTAGAATTTTGATGTTACCTGTCTTGTATATTAGATTATCCTCAGCAAAGTTTGAGTGTAGTTTATAAGTAGCCTCATGTCTGTTTTGATCGTATTTGGTTGTTAAATTGAGGTTTTTGTGGCTTTTTTTTCTTTTTTTGAGATTTCTGTAAAGATTTAAAAACTGCTTTGATCTGAGAGTATTTGCTTCTTTGAAGTAAACTGGGCAGTTCTATTATTAAAATAATGAAGATTGATGGTAATATTTCCCTATCTGTGGAAAAAGCACTCTAGTCAGGAATCTCCAACCTTTGTCCAGATGACTTTCTGCCTTTCCGTCTCAGATACCTTATCCAAGATTAATTTCCTTAGGCTTCAAGACCTAGTCCAAGGAATTGGCTATCCTGACAAGTTCAAATTTTTAGTTATTCTTGGTATTTGCTTTGTTTACCTGCTTTTCACTAACAGACACTTGTTTACATGGCATTTGTCATGTCCTTTTATTTTTATTATCATATTGTACTGCAGGCACACTGACATTTACAAAAAGTTGTTATTATCATAGTTGAATTCACCCCCTCCATCATTCTCCTTTATTACCCTTCCCCCCATTCCTGGGATAGTTTCAACAGGTTTCATTTTTCCATTTACATACATGAGTACATAGTATTTTCACCATATTCACCCTCCTACACCCTTCCCTTATATCCTCTGTCATGTCCTTTCAAGAAACAGCTTTAATAGTCTTTTCTTTTGTACCCATATCTCAAATCTATCATATCGTTGGTCTCCAAATTTTTTTATTTTTTTGATATAGGGTCTGTGTTTTGTTTTGTGTGGTACTGGGGATTTGAACTTAGAGCCCCATGATTGCTAGGCAGGTGCTCTACCACTTGAGCCACTCTGCCAGCCCCAGTATCTCACTATGTAGCCCAGGCTGCCTTCAAATTCATGAAGTGCTAGGAGTTGTAGGTACTCACCACCATATCAAGCTCTAAACTTTTTTGACTGGTGACTCCAATAAAATTTTTGGATATGTAATGCCCAATCGTACTTGTAAAAGAACAAATAACAGTTTATGATACAGCAAAGTGAGTCTTTTTTCTTAGCTGACTTATAAGTATGTCTGTAATAGCTATCACAAGTGATAGATATCTCAGAGATACATAAGAGAAATTTATTGCTAATTTGTATTAAGTACTTAATTTTTAATTCTCCACCAATTATGCATAAGTTTTTGTCCAAGTACAGCTAGTGAGTTTTCATATTTCCCAATTGTCAAATAGCTATTCTTGCAAGTCTTTCAGAATAAATTAAATTTTCATAGTTTTGCCAAATTAATTTGGAGCTTTCTGAAAAGTGTTGATTTGGAAGATTTTTAAATGGATTGGAAAATTGTTTCCAAAATTTTAAAGTGTATGATTGCCATTTTTACAGGAGACAGTTTTTTTTTTTAAAGCAATACTACATATAGATGTGATCACTTTTTTTTTTTTTTTGAGGTGCTCTGGATCGAACTCAGGGCCTCAGATGCTAGGCAAACGCCCACTGAACACCCCACAGCCTCACTTTTCTAGTTTTATGATTGTGGGATTGAATCCAGTGGCTAACATAGACTAAGAAGGTGTTCTACCATTGAGCATTCCTAGACCCGTTTTTGTTTTTAAAATGTTCACTGGATGAAGGTTTTTGTGTTTTTAAAATTTCTTCCTCAAACTCACTATTAAAATGTTGCCTTTGTTTTAAATGCATTTTAAAAAAATTTCTACTAAGTTACGCACCAAACAGCTGTTTGATAATCTTAGAGAACACTGGCAAATAAAGTATTACATGAGCCATTAAATAACCAGTACAGCTTTACAGCTGCTCTCTATCTTTTGTAAAATAGTCAAAGTTACCTACAAATGCTTTTTTTTTTTTTGAATCCTACAAATCCTCTTAACAAACCAAACATAAACAGTGATATGCTGTATGCTTTAGTAGTCTGAACAAATGAATAAGGCCATTTCAAACACTATGCTACAATCTTTTCTAGAGATAGCTTGCTCACTCTATCTGACACAATTATTTGCTTTGTGAACAATGCACCACTGTTAGTATATATGAAAAATATTAGTGATGTTGAAGTTTTCAAAAGAAAAAGTAATGTATAGGTGTTTGAATAGTTTCTTTATGTATTTCAGTGGATCTCCCTTGAGATGTGAGCACCTCACTTTAGAGGATAATGTGTAACAAAAATGTAGCTTTTTAGTTGATTCACATGTTCCACTCTCAGGCTTATAATTTATCCAGCACAGTGTTTATTATTCTAACACAGCTTCTATGGGTAAAACACTCTAAAATCCTGTAAGACTTTTACTGTGAAATTAATGCAAATGTTTAGCCTAGAGAGGTAATAGAAGTTTAGAAGTTAGGTTTTCTTTTCTTTTTGGTTATGGGTGGTACAGGTTGGTGGCATATATCATCCCTTTTGACAGAAACATTGGACAATAAGATTTCTTAACTATTTTCTTACTGTACACAATCTAATATAGTTTTAGAAAATACAATTGAAGGTCTATGTTTCCTTTTCCTAGCTTTTACAAAGTTTGGCTTTAAAGCTGCTCATTTTCCGAGATTCTGAAGCCTATATAGACATGTATTTAATTTATCTATCAAGAGCTTTGTTAGAAATTAAATTAGACTGTTAATAAAATTGTTTTCTTTACTTGGAAATCTTTTTCTTTTGTTTTATGCAAATTTAAGCCGTAAGAGGGTTTGAGAACAAAAGAAATATATCTGGCTGGAGGGACAAATGACACGGGGTGGGAAATAATTACATCATCTTTCTTATTAAAATCTTGGTATTTACACTTCTGTAGGCTGAAAATGAGTACTAATGAAGTAAATAGATATGTTCTTTTTGTTACAGGAAAAAGCATTAATTGCTGCTCAGCTGGACAATGCCATTGAAAAAGAATTACTGGAGAGACTGAAACAAGACACGGTGAGAAAGCTAGTGGCTTGGTGGTACAAGTTGTAAGTAGTAGTATCATGCAAGGAAATACTGGGAAGTGTATTTTATTTTTAAAGATGCTATTCTGATCTTATCCTTGGAACAAAATAAATTGATGTAGGCCTCACTTCATCATTTTAGTTCCACGATGCAAGCACATGCTCTGGTTACCTTTCCCTATTTGCCATTATTTCCAACTACCATTCTCAAACTCAACATCCAGATCTCTGTATAAAAACCTTAGCATTTTTCTACTCTTACAAACTACCTTTGTCTTTTAAGGTTCTTAAAATCTTTTTTTTTAAATAATTGACATCATTTATGTATACAGACATAAGTAAAATATGCTTTTTAAAATTACATTTGTCCTAATGTGTAGATTTCAAACTATTACCTTTTTGTTGGTAGGCCTGGTTGGTTTTAAACTTAGGGCTTTGCATTTGCAAGGCAGTTACTCTACTGCTTGAGCCAGTCCATTTTGCTCTGGTTATTTTGGAGATGAGGGTCTCCCAAACTGTTTGCCTGGCCTTGAATCAAGATCCTCTGGATCTCAGCCTCCCGAGTAGCTAGGATTACAGAAGTTTTAAATGACCTGGTTTCATCCTCCCTGGAAATTATCTATTTGATATTAACCACTGGTTATTTAAATGTCAAAAATTGGCTACAGTATGGGCTATAGGCTTGGAAATAACATAGGAATATCATCAAAGTTAAGTATTGTCATTTAAGTCCCTCAGAAAAAAATAATATGCTTGTAAACAGTAGAACTTCAAGTGTAATACCCAAATGTAGTTAAAGGCAGTCTGTGTCTGTTCTTCAGTATGGCGACATCTACAACTTCCCCATTCATGCCTTTGACAAGGCTCTGGAGCAACAGGAGGCAGAGAGTGACTCTTCAGATGCTGAGGAAAAAGATGATGAGGAAGATGATGAAGTAAGTATGGCTACCCCCCGCCAACAATAGTCTATAGAACTAGATAATTTTTATGTAATTGAGAACAGTAACATCTGCAGACCCCTAACCAAAAATAACTTCATTACCTCTTTTCTGTTGTGAGACTAATTTTGCTTTAGCAGTAGTTCCTTTGTTTTCCAGGCTCAGCCAACAAACTGTTTATAAATTATCAATTTTACTCTTATTGAAGATGTTTTACCTCTAATGATTTTTATTATCAGCTTTTTGGTGGTACTATGGTTTGAACTTTTAGCTTTGCAGGTGCTCTACCGCTTAAGCCATGCCTCCAGCTCTTTTTGCTCTGGTTATTTTGGAGATGGGGTCTTGCTCTTGGCCCTGGCTGGCCTGACTACAATCCTATTTTATGCTTCTTGCCAGGAAGCATGGCATGCACCACTACACCCAACTTTTTTTTCTATCACCTGGAATGGCTATCCTCCCAATCTCAGACTCCCAAGTAGCTAGGATTATAGGCATGTGCCCAGCTACTTCTAATGACTTAAATCAGGCCATAGGAGTTGTGTGATGTCCTTAAATTTTTTAAATTCATAAATATTAAAGTTGGGAATAAATTTTGATTGCTCTAATATGTAGACTCTGATTATATTATTTATGCACTTATTTATCAAAGAGTTAAGCTAGATGTCTAAACTGGTTCTTCATTATGTATTTTGAACCTAATTTCAGGATGTAGGGAAAAGAGAATTTGTGGAAGATGATGAGGTGGATGAGAGTGATCTAAGTGATTTTGAGGTAAGCTCTGCGGGTAAAAAATTTTTCTTTGCCCTGTAACAAAATAAAATAAATAAATTGGTTAGTTCTAAATTGAAATCAATGAAAGGAGCTGGGAGAAATCACCACTTTCCCCATTTGACCTTTTCTTTCTCTGTATTAGGATATGGATAAACTGGATGCCAGCAGTGAAGACGACCAGGATGATAAATCCTCCAGTGAGGAGGAAGAAGAAAAGGCCCGAAATTTGAAACACAAAGGCAAAGCACCCTTGAAAGGAACTCTGCAGAGAAAACGAGCCTATGTAGAAATAGAGTATGAGCAGGAGACAGAGCCCATTGCCAAGGCCAAAACCACATGATTTCCATTTGTTTATTTTCAGGACTGGGCATTTTGAACTTCTATCTTAAACACAACCACATATCCAAGTTTTGCTTATTTGTGTTGCATTTCACACAATATTTGTGTTCTTAACATTTATGCCACTTCATTGGAACAAGAAATCTGGAGTGGAGGAGAGACTTAACTTGTGAAGAGTATTTTTACAGCATATGTGTTGAAGTAACAGCTTGAGCCCAAGAGTCTTTAACAGATGAGTTCCTAAAGCTGGAATGAGATTGTGGGTGTAAATATTTCTAAATTTTAAGCACTAAATTCCTTGATGTCTTTTTCTTTTTTTCTCCCAATTTTTTTTTTTTTTTTTTTAAAGAAACGGTAGGACTTCAAATTTTTCTTACTCTCCTTTCCCTACTCCTATGGGGGTAAAAGATAAGAAAGGGAGAAAAAAAAAACTCGCAATGTTTAGTGTAAAAATACCTTTTGCCGTAACTCCATACAGTCTGGGATAGGAAGAAAATCCTTTCTTTTTGGAAAGTAACCTTAAGTGCCATGGTAGGAAGCATCTGCAGACACCCACTGTACTTTTCTAATACAGCTCACCACTGTGCTGTCATCACAGCTTAGGACAATTTTGGCCAGAAGACCCTGAAACATGAAAGCAAACAGGCATTGTCTTTTAAAAAAAATTATTGTATTTCTCTTTTATACCTTCTTTTCTTTGTATCAAGCTCAAAAGGAGGAAAGAGTAGATGACACTGGGGGAAGTTGGGAGTTCACCAGTCAGAACAGCTGTGTTACTTTAAAACTGTTAAAATGCTTACAAGTGTCCTTGCTGACCCGCAAAGAAGCCAATTAATTCTATCTGAAGCATATTAGGTTGGAGCTAAAGCTCAAAAACTGCCCAAGATTAAAGGGCTAAAATGAAATAGTTTGGATAAACAAACAAAAAAAAGAACATACTACATGAATTTCTTTTATGCTGCCTTCAGTCTTTCAATTGAAAATTTCTAAATGGGGCAAGAAATGAGACATTAGTCTATTAAATACATACAAATGCACACATAGCTATGGTCTTGAGAAGTTAACTTTGTGGACAATAGAACCAAAGGAAGAATTCCCATGTGAGTAAGTAAGTATGGAAAACATCCACCTAAGAGGTAGTTCTCTCCCAGCACCACTGGGTGCTGAATTACTGTACATTATTACTTATTGGTGGCTGATAGCCCTTTGTTTCCTTTTTTTTTTTTTAATTCAAAATACTAAAACAGAACTTAAATTTTATAAACTTTTTGATTCTAAGGGTTTTCCTTATTCTCTCATCTTTAACCCTAGTGATTGATAACTGAATCTCTTACCTTTGGCTCTAAATGGTTATGAATAGCTTTATAAAACAGTAACAGGCTGGGGGCTTAGTGGTAGAATATGTGCTTCACATGTGCAAGATCCTGGGTTTGATCCCCAGCACCCAAACCTCTCTCCCTCCCACACCCCCAAAATTACAAAAACCAGGTGCCAGTAAGCTCATACCTGCAATCCTAGCTACTTGGGAGGCTGAGATCTGAGGATTGCAGTTCAAGGCCAGCCAGGACAAATATTTTGCAAGACTCCACCCCCCAAAAAAACAACCAGAACAAAATGGACTGGAGGCATGGCTCACATGGTAGCATGCCTGCTTTGCAAGTGCAAAGTTCAAACCCCAGTCCTCCCCCCACCATCACCCCTCCCCCCAAAAAAAACCAAGTAATTATTGAAAGACTAGAGGCACAGATGTGAGGCCCTAAAACCCTGAAGTTCATTTTTAAACTTGGCCAGGTACACAAATAGTAAATGACAACCAATTATAAACATTATGTAAGGACAATGAGACCCAACTGAAGTTGAGGGACAGAACAGAATGCCTTACCTTTACCCGTCCTTGAGAGCAGTGGTCCAGGAGAATCAGGCAGTCTGTGGCCTCCTGTAGCAGGGCATTCTTAACAGGGTCTGGTGTTAGGTTTGTGTCCCGTGCTACATCACATATCAGTTTCAAGAGAGCCCTCAATAAGACTACTACTCTGCAAGAAATTCTGGAATCAGGAAGAAAAACAATGTTTATCTTCTAAATTGAGATAATAAAACTAAAATAAGACTTCAAAAATTTCTGGTGGGAAACCCTCATTTCCTAAGTAGAAAAACTAAAAGTTAAATGACAAAAAAGACCAACAGCTGGAAATGGAACCAGAGACTAGACTCCAGATTTCTTAACCTCAAGCTTCCTGCTATTTCTGTATACAACATACTCTAGCCTGCTCAAGCATACCTTGGTTCCTTCCAGAATCTGGTTGTACTTTAAGGGAACCCCACCCCTCATTGGCTAAGAAAGGAAAGCAAGATCTCCAATCAAGGTTCTGTACTTTTGGCCAGAGAACAGGAGATGGCCCACAGTTCTTTAACTTCATGCCTTCTTAGTTCTGAGCATTAAAGTGAGGGTGCCAGTTGTGGTGGTTCACCACTGTAATCCCTGCACTCAAGAGGCAAACGTTCTAGAAATGGATAGGGGTGATGGTTAAAAAACATTTTCATTGTACTTAATGCCACTGAATTGTACTCTTTTAACATGGTAACTTTTATGTATTTTTTTTACAATAAAAAACCACCTTAATGAAAGCTGGAAAATAACTTACAGTGTGAAAATTACCATAAATTTTATTTCTGCAGAGAATTATGACTGGAAAAAATTTCATCCCTTTGTCTTAAAAACATTCAGCATTTTCCTCTTTCAGTGTATAAATTGCTCTGTCTGCTCACCACTTTTCATGTATTACCTGTTTATACATGGATGCATTCCTTCTCTAACCTCCCTCCATTCATTTACCTCTTCCTTTACTTAGAATCTTGGTGTCTGCTCTTTAAAGGACTGACATACTGATTCAGTTTCATGCATCCATCTATTCATTCTACTGTAGTCCATTTGTTCTGTAAGTACTGTGTACCCAATCCCAAGTACTGGGTAGTTTGGGAGTATATAACAGATGTGGTCTTCCATTCTCCTGGAGTTTAGTGGGGGAAAGTAAGTAAGCAAATGCAATCTCATTACAAATCTGACTAAAGGAAAGACTGTCATGGAGGAAAGTTACTCTATTCCTTATACATGGACTAGAACAGGTACTGTACCTTGTTTAGGGCACTGTATTCTCTGGTTGAATTAAATATTCAGTTAATTCATGCAAGAAACTCAACAATTTGGGCTCCAATTTACTAATGACATCTTCAAGCCACATTTGGAATGCCTTCTAAGCAAGCATATCCTAAATGAGCACTCTGATCACTGCTCTGTAGATGTTACATGATATACTATGACACACTTCATTCTCAATTAGATTTAAGGACCTTTAGAATGAACAAAGTTAAACATGTCTATTGCAGCACTTCTAAATGGCCTTTAATATTCTACTATAGTGCTGGAGATGTGGCTCAAGTGGTAGAGAGCCTGCCTAGCAAGTGTGAGGCCCTGAGTTTAAACCCCAGTACCACCAAAAAATGACAGTTGGAAAACTGCTAAGAGAGTAAATTTTAAATGGCTGGGTACAGGTGGCTCAAGGCAGTAATCCTAGCTGCTCAGAAGGATCATGGTTCAAAGCCAGCCTGGGCAAATACCTCAAAAAAAAAAATCACAAAAAAAGGATGGTGGAGTGACTCAAGGGTAGGCCTGAGTTCAAACCCCAACACTACAAAAAAAAAAAACAAAAAAGAAAGAAAAAACTCTAATATACATTATAAATCTGGAGAGGTGTCTCATCTATAAATTGTTCAACCTGTGGGACATCAAAAAGCATCTGTGTGAACATTCTTCAGAACACAATCTAAATCATTTAGGATATACTTGAGTTTAAAAGAGTGATTTAATTATGGCAATCTGGAACTGATGCCTGAGAAGCATGTGAAGTAACTCTTTTATCCTTCTAATACCATTTTCTTCAGTTCAAAATCTTATCGGTATGTGAAAATGAAAGGCATTTAAATGCATTGCATGTCCTAAATGCTTTGACTCAATATACATCTTGATAGAGAAAATTAGCTGAGGGGTACTCCTTTTAGCACACTTGTCTGTTTGGATTCTATACCTGGGCCAAGTATACTGCATGAGAAGTTTTAAGGTTTCCAGTATCTTTAATCTAGCCTCCTCTTCTGGTCCATCATAAACTTCCAAATAACCAACGATGACTCGCTCCAGCCTCTTCATGTGCCGCACAGTTAGGATTCCCAACCTAAAAATGAAAGAGAAAATATGATGCTGAAGAGATGAACTGGAGGTGGGTGGCCAGAGCAGGAGCCTAGGCACTGACCTGTTCACAAAAGCTGGTAGGTTTCTGGCATAGGTCCTGCGTAAGAGAAGGCGATGCTCTGGCTCCATGTGGGTCAGGACCAGCTGCAGCACCTCATCACAGTGTGTGGTGGGGCGAGATGCATCTCCCTTCCAGTTCTGGGCTTTCTCCAGGATGGGGAACAAATCCAGCAGACACAGGAGCACTGCCTAGAAGGGAAGTAGGGAGAAAAACCATGTTTTACCCATTTGTATTCACAACACTGCTGGTTTTTCTAGGACCTTAATTAATCTACTGCTCCTGGGGTATACATCATAGAATTCTGAAGATACCAGTAATGATACCTTAGGTGTATGAGACTTCACATTTTCAAACTCTCTTCACATTTTTTTATTGTTTCTGTTTTTATTTTTTTGAGACTGGGTCTTGCTATGTCTAAGCAAGTGGCCCAGGCCTGTCTCACTCTTGTAATCCTCTGGCTAAGATTATAGATGTGCACCACCACACCTGACTTGCTTTTTTTTTTGTGGTTCCAGGTTTGAACTCAGGGCACTTCACCAGCCCTTTTTTTTTTTTTTGTGAAGGGTTTTTCAAGATAGGGTCTTGTGAACTATTTGTCCAGGCTGGCTTCAAACTGAGATCCTCCTGATCGCTGCCTCCTGACTAGCTAGGATTACAGGTTTGAGCCACCGGCACCCCACTTCTCTTCATATTCTTTATCTCACAATCACAAGTTAATATTTTCTCCTCAAGAATTTTTTTTTTTTTTTTGGCAGTATTGGGGCTTGAACTCAGGGCCTTCACCTTGAGCCACTCCACCTGCCCTATTTTTGTGAAGGGTTTTTCAAGATAGGGTCTTGTGAACTATTTGCCGGGGCTGGCTTCAAACTGAGATCCTCCTGATCTCTGCTTCTTGAGTAGCTAGGATTATAGGTGTGAGCCACCAGCGCCTGGCAAGAGTGTTCTTAACCAATTTGTGAGGTGGGAAGAATGGCAGAGCTTGGACTTTAACCCAGATTTTAGGAATCTCAGTCTTTATCACTAAGTCACAAGTCTAAGTGTCTTAGCAATACATGATACTTTCAATGAAACCATTTCTACTTATAATCTAAGGTGGTACGAATTTGACTTCTGTACCTGAAGTTTCAGTGTCTAGGCACACTCCTTGTTATCGCTCATGGAATCTTTGGCCTTTTTTTTTTTTTTTAATTGTTTTAGGTTTTAAAATTTTTCTTTTCTTCATGTTAAGAGGCTTAAACTTTTTAACTATCAGTAACTGGATTCTCAATAGCCAAAATACTTTTTAAAAAGGAAAAATAACTAAGTGAAAGGGAAAAAAAGTGGTGGTGGTGGTAAGGGAGAGGTAGGGAAGATACAAAGAAGAAACATGGAAGGATTGTGGGGGAATGTACCTCAGTGGTAGAGTATTTGCTTGCCATGTTCAAGGACCTGGGTTTGATTCCCAGCACAAAAATAAAAACTAACTTCTTTCTTCTGTCTTTAGAATGTTCTCCCTTCTAAGAAACTCCAATAGGAGTGAATATATCCTTAATAAGCAAGTATCACTTTGTTCCCAAAGCTTCCTAAAACCACCCAACACCACCCCAAATCTGGTTAGTTGTCTATTACTGGATACCCACTGTACTTTATACAAACCTCCTAATATAGTTACTACTCTATGCTGTGTATGTTTGTAGATGTATGTGTACATAGTCATACATTTACATAACATATGTTCATTTACTCTTAGCACCTACAGTAGGTACTGGCACACAGTAAGTATCAATATCTATTGGATAAAACAATGAGACTAAAATATCTATCTACATACAAGGAGTTCCAAGTGCATGTGTTGATAAAAAGTAGCACAGAAGGAAGAACATTTAAATTAATAAAAACAGAACTTTTTCAGACACAAAGTTGCCTCCAAGTGATATTTAGTTCACCTATATAAAGATAACTCTGGCTTTTCTGAAGACTCAGGAATGTTGATGCCAATGTTGTGAGACTTTCAACTTGGCAATGACTTTTAGCATCCTCATTTTACAAGACAGGAAACTGTCTCTCTTATTTTTACTTACATATTGCCATCTTTTGTTCAAATTAGAACCCAGACAATTATAAATAAATCTTCATAATTACCTGAATGAGGTGGTGCTCTGGCATGTACAGGTGATTGAAAATAGCATGGTACACAACCTGGGCTCTATTATACTGGAGCAAATCAGCAGCTGGCTGCAATCAGACAAATTATCCAAATAAAAGGAGTTTCCTGAGACTGACATTATTTATCTATATATTGTTTATTATTTATTTATTTATTTTGCAATGCTGGGGAGCTAGCCCAAGCCTCACACAGGTGAAATTGATAATTTTTGAAACTGAATTATGGGTACATGGAGATTCATTTTACCACTGTTTCTACTTCTTTATATATTTTAAAAGCTCCGTAATACAAGGATAAAACAGTTTCAGAACTAGCTTACACATTTGAGTACACTCTCTCTCAGGTTCTGATTATTTTTTTAGTACTGGGTTTGAACTCAAGGCCTCAAGTTTGCTAGGCAAGCACTTTATCACTTGAGCCATGCCCCCAGCCCTTTCTTTTTGGTTTTTACTTTCTGAAAGTCACCTGTTAATCACTTGAGGTCTGGTTATTCAGTTTTATAATGATGAGATATAATTTCTACCAGGTTGACAGAGAAAACATATAAGGAGAAAAAAAACGTAAATAAGTGAATTTAATGACTTACTTTTCATAGGAAGCTAGTTAACAAAAGATAAACATAAGCAAAAATGGTGATAATGAACAGCCATGATGAGTCAGGCTGCACCATCAACTGAGGTGACAGAGCAAAGGTGGCTTACCACGTTAAGCACAATATGATGGAGGCAGTGAACACCCAGGACTTTGTTCTCAGTTTGATAATCATCTGAGATGAGCAGAGATGGGGGAAGTATCCTTTCCAGATGCTGGGTCAGCCAGGGTCGAGTGACCTGCTGCAGGGTCCATGAGAAAACATGTTTGACTGCAGGGTTGTTCTTCCAGGATTCCCTAAAAAGAAACATGAAACCACATTTAAGTAAAGTGATGTGATGATAACTAGCAAAGAAAATTAACTGGCTCAAGCTGAACAGAGTATTTTCTTGTTCTGGGGTGGGGGGAATAAAGAACATCCTACATAACTCTTAATTTTATAAAATACATTTTATGAATTGAATGAAAACAATTTACAAAACCTGCACTAATGCAGGTTTAACAATCACTTAGGGCTGTAGGTCTAAATTAGCTTATCCAATGACTAGCAGCCATTTATAACCACTGCTACATAAAGGACCTGTGGTCATGATGGTTGTGGTTAAGAGTGAAACGCACTGAGAAGGGAGACAGAAAAATGCACTGAAGAGATACCTTAGCATTATTATTCTAAGGGAACAGATGAATCAATACATGAGCACCAACTGGTAGCTTATAGTGAGTTCACACACGACTCAAGCAATCCTCAAAATAATAGCTGTTCAATAGGTATGTTATCTTTATACTGAAAATAATAAAACAGATCCAGAGATATTATTTAACCTTGTCCTGCTCAGAACATTAAAAAAAGCTCTAGTTTCAAAACCAAGCCTTTTAACCCCAAGTTCTTGGTAAAATAACATGATGGACATTTTTCCCTCATCACTCTCGTGCTACAAATACTAAAAAAGTAACAAGCGGGAACTCACAGAAAGTACTTTAGCTAACAGCAATCTAGGGTTTCTGTTTTTCCATCCCAAATATTGCTTCTCTAAAAACAAGCCATGGGTTTAAAGATTCCGGAAGTTTAAATCCTCTCTAAATCCCCATATTCATCTAACTTAAGAAACTTAATGGGACAGAATGTCCAAGGCAGTTCAGTGCTGGAAAGAGCACTGGAAAATCGAGTCAAGACTCGATTCTAAAGCACCTCGGATTTGCTTTTAGCTAGTTACCTCACTTACAGCAAACCACAACCTCTCCGGGCCTTTAAGACAACTGCTATTTCAACACCCTTATTTTTCTGAGGAAGAAACTCGGGTTCATTTGAGTTCTAGCACTAAACTGTGAAGCTGAAACTCGAGTCAGTGAAAAGGACAGCACTCACTTATTCAAGTAGGGCTTGAGAAGCCCCATGATCACAGGAAATCTTTCGTCTTCATTTTCTCCGCGCAGGAATCCTGCGACAGAACTGCACTGAGTGACTTTAAGCAGCGAGGAACGCACCTCTCCAGCCACCTCCCGAGATCTTGGGCTGGTCCATGGCTGCTCCAAGAGGTGTGTGATGGCAAAAATATAGATGGGTCCTGCCAAGTGACCTAGGACCGTCTTCCACGCAGGGCAGACCAAACAATTCTTGCCAGCCTCAACTTTCTCCAACAACCTAAGAAACAGCACACCGACTTCTACAGCTTTCTCGGGGACTTCGGAGTGAGCAGAGCCCGCACAGGCCTCCTCTTTGGGAGGGGCTGCGTACTTCTCTAGGGCCTTTGTGACCTGCCCCAGGGTCTCGGCCGCCCGGCGGAGCGGCTGGCCGCTCCCCTCCAACAACCTGTCCCATTCTGTAGTTTCTATCAGCGCGCTGAAGTCTTTAAGAGCGACTCGTCTCGCGCTGGCCCGCCGAGCCTCATGGCCGGTAAGACGGTGCAAGACCTCGGAGCAGGCCTGTCCGAGGGCCGAGGGAGACCACTGTGTCGGCGAGGAAGCGCCTCCCGGCGAGAGCTCGGCACGGTCCAGCTCCATTCCGAACTCTGCACCGCGGAAGGGCTGGTCTCCCCAGGGACTAGGACGCCGACCACAGTAATAAAGTGGGTGTAAGAGAAAGGGGCCTTTCCGGCACTATCAGAAACAGCGAAGCGGATAAACTACTCTTTTTGAAGACTCGAAAAAGAAGCTTAAGAAATAAACCGCTGAGCAGAACCCGCACCTTTTCCCGCCCATCATGTGTACCTAGCCGCTTCCGGCCCTAGCTGACATCGTTGCCGTAAAGCACAAGGCTAACTTCCGCCAGGAGTGCCGCAACGTTTCATTTCACAACTTATAGACGTAAAGCAATTAAGAGCCAAACAGCGGCGAGTCAAAGACAAAAAAGGTGGAGCTATGGCGAAAATATTTGCATGGATAAGCATCCGCTCGCTAATTTTGCTCCTGTATTTAATTCTTGAGATAGAAACAAAAGAATATCACAAAATATCAGTGGTATGTTTTAACTCTGCGGGATTTTATATAGCAAAACGATCCATGTGGTCTATGGTAGTCACCCTTTTTGTAAAATTGGTAGAACATACTTGGGAATTCCTAATGGACACAGCCGGCTGATCCTTTTTTGGTTCATGAGCATGATGATTGGGTGTTCACGCCTCTGCGTGACGTGTGCCGCCCTCAAATCTTGTTACGACGTGGGCACATTACCCTTCTGACGTGAACTTAGAGGGTCCGATAGGTTTTTGTTCTGTTTTTCCGCGTGGAATGTTAGTTTGGCTTGTGCTTACTGGTGTTCGCGGGAGCTTTCTTACGTGCGTTTGTAGTTCTGCACAAGCTCTGGACGGCTTTGGGGAAGAGTTTTTGTAAGTGACTAGAAATCCATACACGAGCAGGAAGCCGGGGTCTGAGTGGATCCCGGCTGTGTCCGCCACGTGGGCGCAGGACCGGGGGCCGCCAGGAACCCGCCTTCCTGCGGCGGAGTCATTAGCCATTTTTATGCCACGTGGGCATTGCTTTCTCCCTCCCTGCGGCCTCCCTCTCTTCGATCCTCAGTTCCCCCAGGGCTGGTGGTCACCGTGGGAGGTCACGGTGTCCTAGGAGCCGGAGGACGCAAACTTCATTTGTGCCAAGATGTGGGTAGGAGCGGAGAAGGACGAACCTTAGGCACCGGGAAGGGTCGCCACTTCGCCGCCGGGGACCCTGTGGGGAAGCCGCGCTCCTCCCCGCTGCTGCTCCGGCCAGCTGTCTGCCAGGCATCCGCAAGGGTCCCGGGAAAGCCCGGTGGGGTGTGCGGATCTAGGAGTGTGTGGAAAGGGGTGACGTGTCAGGGGTCCTCCGGGAGTGGTCGTGGCGCCGGGAGACGTACAGTGTTTTGTTTAGCCGTACTGGGTTTTGAACTCAGGGTCTTTGCAAACGCTCTACCGCTAGAGCCAGCCCCAGCCCATGTACTGTGTTTTCATCCACCGAGGTGATGCTTCTTGGCTCGCACTTCTTAGTTCACTACTTGGAACTAGCTATCTGTGATGTCTGTCTTCCTGTCTGCTTTGCCTTTTTTTTTTTTTTTTTTGCTTTTGCTTTAGAACCTTTGGCAAAAGTTAAGGAACCCATATTTCTGTGTCTTACTTTTATTTTATTTATTTTTTGCGGTACTGGGGGTGGATCTTGGCCTTAAGCTTGCTAGGCAGGCACTGCTCTACCACTTGAGCCACTCCACCACCAGTCCACCTTAATTTTTTTATTGGAAAAAAAATGTAGGTAATAGTAGTCCCCACCTGTTTGTACTGTTATGAGAAATAACAGTTAAATATGTATGAAGCTTGGAACAGTGTTCAGCAGAAAGTTCTATACAGGTGTTAGCCTGTACTGTTAAGGGCAATAAGAGCTTCTGTGTTAACTTACATTTCCTCTTTCCAGGAAAACTTGTTGAGACCTGCCCTCTCAACCTCTTACTTTTGGCCTTCCCTCCTCTGACCAATTGGTGGCACTCATGATTCTCTTAGCAGTTCCAACCACTGATAACATTTCCTCCCAAGGGGATCTTCCTGAACAAAGGCCCAAGTGGAGCAAGATGCCAATCAAGAGGGAGTTATTGTACCTCTCCTATGTGTGAGCATTTCTTCCCTGTTCCAAGTCCCCCTTGTGCCAAGTGGATCCAAGTTTCAACTTGACGAAAGTAGCTGTATTGTAGTATTGTAGAGATCCCCTCTGCACTGTGTTTCCTGAAGCCAGCGATCACATCATTATTCCTAGTGCCTGGCACCGTTTAGTCATGCAATAAACGTTTATTGAATCCACATGTCCATCCACAGAGGCCTGGCTGGATAAAACACGATACATCCACACAATGCAGCTCTGTGCAGCTGCACAGAGAAGAAAGAACTATCTCTATGGACACCAGGGTATATTGTTAAGTGAAAAGAGTGAGGTGGAGGCCATGGATATGTTGCTGTTCTTATGAGAAAGATGGGAACTTGGAACAAGGATACACAGGTGCATTTCTTCACATGTTAAAGAAAAAGCAATGGAGTGTAAGTTATAAACTTAAGACATTACATCTAAGAAAAGCACAGGGTGAAGGGAATGGGCATGGAAGGTAGACTTCTCTGTATAAATTGTGTTTTACAGTTATGACTTAGGAACCATGTAAATGTTTTGCATAGTTCTATTTATTTGTGGCGATACTGGCATTTGAACTCAGGGCCTCAGGCCCTCTCTCACTTCAGTCATGCCACAGCCTTTTTTGTTTTAGTTATTTTTCACATAGGGTCTCACAGTTTTGTCCAGGTCCAGCCTCAGACCCGATTCTCCTCCCAAGTAATGTGCTCCACCATGCCTGGTTTGTTCTTTGAGATAAGGTCTCCCTACTGTTTTGCCCAGGCTGGCTTCAAACTGCAATCCTACATATTTATGTTTAAGATAATAAAACAGGTTCTAAAAGAAAAAAAAATGAGAGTACATTAAGTCACTAGCATAACCACATAGAAAAATAAGACAGTGACTTTAAAGTTCACTAATTTGACTCCATATCTTTGAGTGTCACATATCCTAAGGACAAAAAAAAAAAAAAAATGGCAAGGAAATTAACTGCATTTAGTAATAATGTTGTTTTTCAAAATGCTTTTTTTTCTGGTGGTGGTCGTACTGGAGTTTGAACTAAGGGCCTCCCAGTTACTAGCTAGGTGCCCTGTAATAATACTTGTATTGTTATTTAGATAGCATATATATTATATAATTTACATATATGTGTGTATAAAATAGCAAATAAGTAAATACCTTAATATTGTTGGAATCCACAATTTTCAGTGAAAGATAACAAAGGTACACTTATCAAGTGAATGAAATTAGATATAAATTCTACAATCTGGCATTTGAACGATCATTGTCCATATGAGTTAATGATTTTCTCATTCTACAAAATACTATATCCAAGTTGTGTCCACTAAAAAGACCAGGAAGCAGTAAAATAGTATTAGTAGTCATAGCTGTGAGCACACCTACTCCAAATTCATGGTCTAAAACGAACCAGTCATTGTTCAGGAAATGACTAATTTCTGAACTGGGGCAGAAACAGTACAGGATGGGCCTGTGGCATTTTGTTATGCTGGGCCCTAGTGGCTGAAGCCTGTAATCCTAGCAACTCAGGAGGCAGAGATCAGGAGGATCATGGTTTGAAGCCAGCCTAGGCAAATATTTTGTGAGACCTTATCTCAAAAATACACAACACAAAAAAAAGGGCTGGTGGAGTGGCTCAAGGTGTATGCCCCAAGTTCAAGCCCCAGTACCATAAAAAAAGAAAGAAAAAAGAAAGAAAGAAAGAAGTAAGATGGCCATCAAATATACCAGAAGCTATGCTAAAAGGACCCAAGAGCCAAGGTAAAAGTGCACCCACTGGACAAATTTAAGCATGAAAACAATGGTAACTGTCACAACTGAAACATACACATCAATGAGTTCAGTGATACTAAAAAGAAAATCTCTCATCATTCTCTTTTCAACTCCTTAAGGCACCAGCTCTTTATGTTGAAAACTAGTGAATAAAATGAAGAAATTAAGCATTTGTTCTGCTGTGTATTTCAGGGCCCTAATTAGTTTGCAAGAATGACAAATGGAACAGAAGTGGTAGAATGAGAAAGTCATGATTCATACCTCCTAATGAAGCTTTGGGATGCACAACAATCACTCACAATTTCAAGGTAAAAGATGATCACAAACTTCCTAATGGCTTCATTAAGCTAACTGACATCTGAATCCTCTGATGAGTGCTAACATCACTAAAAGATCACCAGGTACCATGTGCCTCCCAATGTAATGACTAGGAAGTACTCAGGCCTATGAAAAGACTCTGAATCTAATTAAATTACTACCAAATCTACTATCAAATGAGAAGAAATACAGAGGACAAAGAATAAGACACCATGACCATAAGGGATCATCAATCAAGATAAGCATATGGGAAATTCTACAAAGTTTCCAGTTTTTTCAGTAAGTAACCATCATGAACGAAATGGAGTAGAAGGCGAAGCAATAAAGATTCTAAGTCTTGAAATATCTCCCTGCTGGGCTGAAGCTCAGTGCTAGAGCGCTTGCCTAACATGTGCAAACACTGGCTTTGATCTCTACCACTACAAAAACTAATAAAATTAAAGTGAAATCAAATACGTCTCCACCAAATGCAATCTTGGATCTTTTCTCCAAAAAGCAAATTATAGAAAGATGTACCTAAGACCAGTGTGGAAATTTGCACATAGATCCATTATCAGGGTATTTGTATAATTTTGTCATTTAAACACAACATGTTGGGCTGGAGATATAACTCAGAAGTGGAGTGCTTGCCTAGCATGAATAAGGCCCTGGGTTCAATCCCCAGCACCATTTAAAAAAGAAATGCCAAGAGGTCAAGTGGCATGATCAACAATTGTGCTGGTAGAAAAGTGTAAATTATATCTGTCCCAAGGAAATGTGATTATCTGATACTATATAATTTTGTAGAATCATTAATTTTCAGATTGATAATTATATTTGTATTTTTAAGGTATTATTAGAAAAGTAGTCCTCAAACTTCAAAATCTTGGGACTCTTTATACACTCTTAAAAGTTATACAGTCACACTCATTAGGATGCCTAGAATCAAAAACAATGAAAAATTTGGTGAGGTTGTGGAAAAACTGGAGAAGAGTTGAAATGGTCAGACACAGCTGATAGAAAAGTACAAT